ATCTGAAGATCAAAATTTGATACAAATAATAATTTCAAAAATTCATAATAGACACATAATTAAATCCTTAACTAATTGAAATTTATGCTGTTTGCCCTTAATTAAACCCTCTTGAACTTGTAAAAGAAACTATTCCAACTAGATAAGGATATGCATACTATATGTAGGAAGTCAGTAGCAGTATCCATGTGTAATAATTAAATTTATTATTTTTAAAAACCTCAGTATTTTTCTAACTATAAAAATGATAGTGACTATGTGTCTACTAATGTGGATGTAATTGGGAGACCACATATAATATGTAGTAGTAGTAAGTCTAAGGAAAATGGAAAATATTTGGTGAAAAGTGAACATTGTGCTTATATGAACCAACCCAAGATAGCACTTTTATAATGTCACCCTCCTCCCAAAATACTTGGGACAATCACTTAAAATCTCTTCATAAATTTTAGGGAAAAAAGTCTGAAAAATATTTTAACTTTGGCTAAAATTGTTGTTACGATACTAAATTTTATGGAGGACCGTTTACCCCTGCACTATTTAATAGTGTATTTTAAAAGCATATATGTGCCCACGTGGACACATTATTATTTATAATTATGAAATATTTATGATATCCACGTGGGCACATATATACTTTCAAAATACACAATAGTGCAAGGGGTAAAAGGTCCTTTCCAAAGTTCGGTATCGTAACAACAATTTCGGCCAAAATTCAAATATATTTCAGACCTTTTTCCCTAAATTTTATTTAGATACTTTACTTACGTTTTGTTTTAATTAAATATCTGAACATATAATAAAACAGTTCTATACTACAAAAAAATGCTCAATTTATGGGGGTCATTTTGTCAATTTGTGGCATTTTTGGGACCCCACAAATTAAATTGTGGCGGTTTTTTAAAACGCTACAATTACTCTTGCCACGAGCATATTTGTAGCGGTTTTAGTAAACCTCCACGACGCCCCCCCACAAAATGACTAATAAATTTGTGGAGGTTTTATAGTATCAATTTGTGACGATTTAGAACCTTCACAATATCATCTCAATATTTTAATTTTTTTATTTTTGTAGATTTAAAGTTTTTGTTATATAAGATCAATATTTACATAATTTGATTTGTGGAGTTTTATAAAATTATTATTATCATAATAATAAAAATGAAATTCGATTTACATTAAGCCTTAAAAATAATATAAATAAATAATCTTATTGAATAACACACTTAATGCAAATAAAATTTCACTAAACAAATTTATATTTATAAGCTTCACAAGTTCAAACTCATGTCAAATAAAAGTAGTACAAACTTCAACATTACATTTTAAATGATAAAACATTCACAACAACTAAATATAAAAAAATCTATAGCATTTGTTTGATGATTTAGGTTGTTGCTAGTCAATCTCTTATCCAAGGTGAAGTAAGCTCTATCCCTGGATCAATCTGAAACAAAAAAATATATACATAATTAGATAAACATATATTGATACATACATATATATATATATATATATATATTTGTATGTCTTGAAAAAATTAATGAAAGTTCATTTCATCCCCAAAGCAAATTTATATAAAGTTTTGGTTTGAAAAAAAAGTATAAAACTATGGATGAGAGAAATTTATTTTGATGTTCTCTCATACACACTTATGTGAATAATAACGATTTCATGATTATTTCTACGGAAACAAAAGCTAGGTGTACGGAATAGGAAAATACATATTTTTAAGTTATACTTATATTGATCACAATCTCATGTGAAAATTATCCTTTAATTTGCACTAGTCAAATCCAATCAAGAATAAAACTATTACATAATATTTAAATAAACAAAAATAAAATTAAGGCTTACCTGAAATCAATTGAAGGTCCCCTATAAATAACTTTACAATGTGATGAAAGTTTTAACAAAACCTGAAATATGTAAAGGCATTAATGTGTTAGGTTTAACAACTTGTAAATTACAAAATGTCTACAAATTAAATAATACTAAGATCAATATTTACATTTAAAATTAAGATCAATATTTATATTCAAAAAATTATTTACCATCTATTCCATTGTGCATAACCTACAGGAGAACAAATTATTTAGCAAAAAATTAAAAGTTATACTCACCCAAAAGATTGCCAGAAAATGAAGTAAGAAAAAAAATTAGAGGTAAAGGGAAAGAGGAGAGGGTGAAGGAAAAGTAAGAAGTTTAGGGGGGAAATGATATGGGATTTGTGTGTGGGAGTTTTACGTGGGAAGTGGGGGTAGTTATTTGGTTGTTTTGAAAATTTTAAGGGAATTAGTGGGAAATTTTGGTTTAAGGCTATTTTTAATATTTTGGAGGGAAAAATATTACTATTTATTTTTTATGCACAGAACAAGTTTTTTCTTTTTAATGATTATTAATAAGTAACTAATTAATTAATTTGACTTTGGTATTACAAAAGATTAAATAAAATTAAAATTTAAGCAAAAATAAATATTAATGAATATGACTTTAGAAGATATCTTAATACAAATTGTAGTACTACTATATATAAGATAAAACATTGAAGTGAAATTGAATATAAAAAGTATAAAAAATATTTAAGTTTATCTTAATAGATTAAAAAATAAAGAATCAAAGATTACAATCCAATTGAAATGAAGAAGGAGAATGTGTGTATATATAATGAAATTAACTTTCAACATTAATTCTTTTATATATATATATATATATAGTAACAAAATAAATTTTGGGGGGTCGATAATCGACACAAACTATTTTAACTTATGAAAATTCTCTAACCCCCTTAATAAAACTACCACAAAATGATTTATATTGTGGGAGTTAGAAAAAACGCTACAAAATGTATTAACAATGGAGTTTTTAAGAACTCCCTCAAGTTAATCGCCATAAATTGAGCATTTTTTTGTAGTATTAAAAAATTTTAACTTAAAATTTGAAAAAGTTCTTATGGGAATTCTCAAATGTTCATTACGTATATAATTTAATCATGTTACATATGCCATCTTTTTTTATTACATAAATCAACATCCATTTAAATCGACCTGAATTTACAGATTATTCAGTCTAATGCACATAGTTAAAGCAAATATCATACTTTGAGTGAAATTAACTTATTTACATAATATTCCCTTGAGAGAACACGTAAAAAAAAATTAAAATTTTGAGTCAACAATATCTAATAATAACACTTTATCACGTGTCTTCAAATGCAAAATAGAAACATAACAACGATAACAAGAATAATTATTAAAGCATATCAATGTATAATCTCACCAATAAGTCCCGAAAAAATAGTATATATAAACATTACTTTCATCGTAAAAATATATTTAAGAGATGGTTTTCGAAATAACTTTAATTTTAGTAAAAAAATAAAATACTGACAATTTGTAAGAGGATGTTAATGTATTCTACCTTTTTAAATTTATTTTACTATAATAAAAGGCACCAACTTTGAAATAAAAGATTTTATTAGATTAATTAGATAAGTAGCTTTTCAAAATGTTGTCTTTTTGAATTTGAAGGGGCATTTTAAGGTGCTTTTGTATAAGTGGGGTTGCATTTTTTAATGAGGTGTGAAGACAGCAAAGACTGAAAAGGATAACGAAGGGACCATATCTTGATGATAAATATATACACTAAAGATAATATGGATAGGAATACATGATTTGTCTTGGCTTCAATTTGAGCCAACAATGCCTAACCAAAATAAGTTTTGTTTTTTCCATCATATTCAACATCATTAAAATTCGATTAAATCTAGATTTGTCTACTATGAGATTTATTTTTATACAACGGCATATTTAGGGTTCTCCAAATTCACGTGAACTCGTATTTTTGTTTCGAGATGATATATAGTAGTGTTATGGTTTTTTTTAATAAAAAAAGTTAAATATAAATGTGTAAATTCACGTACATTCGAAGTATCATGTAATTTTACATGCAAGGATGATTGGGTGTACATCTTCTAACTGAGATTTGAAATTTATATTGGAGTCTGATTAAATTCAAATTCACGTATTGCGAAATTCATTTTTGAACATTCTTTTTTTCATTTCGAAGATTTGAATCCGAAATCTCTAATTAAAGACGAATCTCAATCATTCCACAATAGGTTGTAGATATGCTTGTAATAAGTCGAATTAGTAACTGGAAAAATAAAATAATTATTCCTATAAGAAATTATTTTTTTAATGACAGTGAAATGTATTTTTAGTTATTAGTGTATATAGGCTAAATATAAGATACTAATTATAATAAGGAAATAAATACAAATGATACTTTTAGAACTTTTTTTTTTGGCGATTGAACAATATGGATTAGTGAGTACATTGAAGTACAATAAATTTCCAATCATATGATATATCAATGGGATTTTCAGAAATTACAATGTCATCAATAAAAAAATTCAAGAATATTGCATTGACTAAACATCTTGAAATTACAATTGAAGGTTTGCAAAGAACCCCCTCCAAAAAAAAAACCCTCTATAATATTTACAAAATCATAATAATCTCAAAGAGTAAAAAAAAGTATTCATGTTGCCGCCTAGCAATCAATGAGATCGATTGAAGCCATAAGAGATGAGAGTTCAAATCTTAGCACGAATGTAGAAATTTTTCCAAACATTGATATTGGTGGAATGCAAATAAATACCTTGTACTTGCAAACTAATCCAAACATCATCAAAAGTAACTTTTGTTTCAATTCCAATGCAAATTGATGTCCGCTCTATGAATCCTCACTAGCCTGTCTCGGCCAATCATTGGCATCATAAAAGAACATAATTAAAAAATGGAATTAATGGGAGGAATATGAGAGAAGGAGAGAACAATTGTACTGGACAAATAAGTCGTCCAAGTACACAAAAGCTAGCTCGAACATCATCAACAATAACAGACACGCCTCAATCCCAAATAAGTTGAGATTGATTATACGACTCTGTACTTGCTCGAACATCATCGACAATAACATACACACACCTTCAATTTTTGTTCAAGAAGAATACAAGACTAAACGCCTAGAACAAAGAGTACATTGATATTTCCTCTTAATAATAAAGCAAAGAGGAAGAAAACAGAATTTTGAACGACTCTCAACATCAACAGCTTGAACTTTGCCACCACAAGAAGGACAAGCTCCTGATGCTGCTTGTCTTCCAAGCTCTTTCTCTTCTGAATCACAAATATATATTATCAAACACATTTTTCTCTCTTTGTATCTCACTATGTTTGTTTTTTTGGGGGGGAAGTAGTTCTATTTATTATGTTTCTCTTAAAATTATATTGATATGATTGGCATGTGCACTTATATAGATGTGGTATCAAGTGAGTAAAGGATTTTTACATTCAATTTTTGTGGCGTATAAATAGACACATGTGTTTTATGTGGCATAATAACGTCATATTTATATTACGTAGAGCGTAAATTGTCATGTAAAATGCTTAAGAGGACATATATATTTACTTGTTTAATTTTATACAAATTCAAATGCTCACTTATAAAAATTAGAGGTACAAATGTTTGATTAATGCCAAGTTAAAAGTCATATTTAACTTATATATAGATGTGGTATCAAGAAATTTTACTGACCGTTGAAATTTTATCTCTTTTTTTTGTTCTACTTTATTTGTTTTTAACATATATGATGTGATTTTATTAAATGCTAGCGGTGTTCATCAATGACGGAGACAAGACTTCTAGTAAATGGGTTTGATAAAAAGCTGACAAATGAGCTGGTCGATCAGATATGAGTGAACTTATCAAACACATTTTTCTCTCTTTGTATCTCACTATGTTTGTTTGGGGGGTGGGGGGGAGGGGGAGGGAGTATTTGTTTATATTTCTCTTAAAATTATATTGATATGATTGGCATGTGCACTTATATATATATATGTGGTATCAAGTGAGTAAAGGATTTTTACATTCAATTTTTGATGTGTATAAATTGACACATGTATTTTATGTGGCATAATAACATCGTGTTTATATTACGTAGAGTGTAAATTGTCATGTAAAATGCTTCAGAGGACATATATATTTACTTATCTACCTTTATACAAATTTAAATGCTCATTTATAAAAATTAGAGGGTAAAAATATTTGATTAATGCCAAGTTAAAAGTCATATTTAACTTATATATAGATGTGGTATCAAGAAATTTTACTGACCGTCGAAATTTTCTCTCTTTTTTTTGTTCTACTTTATTTGTTTTAACATATATGATGTGATTTTATTAAATGCTAGCGGTGTTCATCAATGACGGAGACAAGACTTCTAGTAACTGGGTTTGATAAAAAGCTGACAAATGAGCTGGTCGATCAGATCTGAGTGAACTTATATGAAGTGGGTTTTAAAAAAAAGAGTAAGTATACTATTCCCTCCGTCCCTATTTAGTTATCCACTTTAGAAATAACACACAGATTAAGACAACAATGATTAGCATAGTGAAGTTACAATTTTACTCTTATAGTACAATTTACAAATTCAAAATAAATTCACTCAAGATAACTAATCAATGCTGGAAAGTTCACAAGTTTATTTACTTTATTTATGACAAATTTATTTAAATAAGGGTATAATAGGAAAAAATTTGTTGTCATTTCTTGATTTGTCAAAATGGACAACTAAATAGGGACAACCAAAAGAGGAAATATGGACAACTAAATAGGGACGGAGGGAGTAATAGTTAGTGGCGGAGCCACCATATCTTTAGGGTTCATCTCAATTTCTTCGACGAAAAATTATATTATTTTAATATGGTTAAAACACTTTTTTAGATATATATAATAGATGTCGAATCTCCTTGTGTCTATTTCTTCAGATTTTAAATTTCCTTATTGAAAATTCTGGCTCCACCACTGCTAATAATGCTGACAAATGAGCGGGTGTATATCAAATATGAACGAGAACTTATATACACTTTTCTAACCAGCAACCAAATGACACTTTAGTCCCTCAAAAATCAACATTTATGTTTGCGTTTCTTTTTACTCAATTCATCTCATGAGACGCGGCAAAGGACTTGGCATAAATATAAGAATTCTCTCTCAGTCATCGTAAAATTAGAGATCTAAATTATCGTTACTTATAAATTAAATGAGAACTTACATAAATATAATATTTTAGAAAATATTTAACATTTATATCAATAACATTTTTTTTCACTTGAATACTTATAATATAGTTTTAATATATATTTCAGAAAACAATTTATAAAACACGTATAATCTCAATTTTATTAATGAATAATACATTTATCGCATATTTTTATACACTTATACTCCCTCCGTCCCTATTTACTTGTCCATATTTCCTTTTTTAGTTGTCCCTATTTAGTTGTCCATTTTGACAAATCAAGAAAGGACAACAAAGTTTTTCCTATTATACCCTTATTTACACTTCTTGAAAATTGTAAAAGTGTATGTTGTTTCCCTCCAATTTATTTCACTTTAATTCAAATAAGTGGTTGTAATTTTGAAGTTAAAAGTTGTCATAAGGGTAAAATTGTAACTTCACTATGTTAATCATTGTTGCCTTAATCTGTGTGTCATTTCTAAAGTGGACAACTAAAAAGGGACGGAGGGAGTATTACATTACGTCAATTTCTATCCAGACAAACTTAATATATTTTAAAACACTTATACAAATAAATTCAATCTGTCTGAACTCTTTTTCAAATAGTGTATAGCAGGATCTTAATAAATTGAACTACTCTGATTGGCTTAGTGTCCCACACCCTCATGGCTTGAAGCTAAAATAAACCTAGCAAAAGTGTGGTACAATTTTAAAAAAAAAATTAATTCAAGAATTTCTGCTTTTATTTCATAAAAATGCTATATCATTACTATATTAAGTTAGTTTTTGATGGTTCAACTGTAAATGATTTTTACTACTCTGTACAAACATTTTTAGGGCTCGTTTGGTGTGAGGTATAATAACAAATAGTCCCGGGATTAAATTATAGTACCGCTTATTTTGTTGTTTGGTTGGCAAGTTCGGGGTAACTTATCCCGGGATTAATAATTAGTATCGGGATAAGTTATCCCTCTCCTTGGGTGGTATAGTAATCCCGGGATAACTTATCCCGGGATAAAATAGGTAAATGACAAAAATGTCTTTTTCAACCCTTTTGTTATATCACTTTTTACATTAATGAAGGGCATTTTTGTAAACAAATAAATTGTTCTTAAAATTTATTATTTTGAATACAACAAACCAAACACTCAATAAAAAATAATTCCAACACAACTTATCCCATCTTAACTAATCCCAACATAACTTATCCCAACATAACTTATCCCATCATAACTCATTTTCAAACCAAACGACCCCTTAGGGTTTAATTACTTTTGTGGATTATACTGTCAAGTTCATTATTTTTATCTGACCCTATTTAATTGTTATGTTTATTAGAAAAATAATTATTTTTAAATACTCATTAGTTATAAAATTAAAAAAATATTATTTTTTTCCAATCTTTATTGTTATGACTCTAATAAATTTTCTAAAAAAATATATTTAAAGGATTAAGAGAGGCAAAAAGATAATAAATAAGAAAAGATCAGTCTTCAACTTTTATTTGTAATGTTTTCTTAGAAGGTGTGCAGAATATTTAAAGTGACAAACAAATAGAATCGGAGAGTATAATTTAAAAATAATAACCTAAAAATGAAGTAAAAGTAAATTTCTATATACTTAAAAAATAATAACCGTCTATCGGTCAATTTATGATTTTTGAAATTTTTTCGAGCAGAGGAGAAAAATAGAAGATATTATCGTCTTATCAAGCCTAAATAAGTTGTCTACGTTATTAAAATAGTGGACCAAATTATTTTCCAATTGATAAAACTATGTGAGAATTAATTAAAATTTTCTCATTTTACCCTTACGGTTAATTTTTTGTACCATAAAACCTCACGACCTCTTCTCTAGCTCTGGGACCTAAAAAACAAAATGGTTTTTTTTTTCTTGGAAAATTGGCAAAATTGTCAGAGTTTGGCATTTGATGTCCTATATGTTGTTTTTATTATTTATTATTTTTTTTGTCTGTTAATTGTAGGAATACGTGTTGCAGTAATATTACAATTTCCAAATAAATTCCCGTGAATAAGTACGTTTTTTGGTCGACATTAATTGGTAGGTCACCTCTCTTGCCAGCTACAATAATGTTTGAGCTGTCAAAATTCATCAGAGTTTTTGTTGTGGTCAGAGGTTTAAGGCACTGTCATAATCTAAAATTTGTGAGTTTAAAAGCTTAGTCTATTAAAGTTATTATACACATGTTTTGGCTAATTCCGCATATAAAGATATGCTTTTTTTTTTTTTTTTGTTAAGACTCATAAAGGACAATTTTAATTTTATGAATCATCACGAGAGTTGATTAAGCTTATTGTTCAATTTTCATTAATTGGTATTTGGTAAGTCACCTTTTTTGTTAGAGTACCATACCGTTCGAGCTGTCAAAATTCATGAAAGACTTTTTATTGTGGTTAGGAGTTTTGAGGCGGTGTTATGATCTGAAATTAATTTATGAATTTATAAGTTTAGTCTGTTAAAGTAATAAGACATAAGTTTTAGTTGATTCCGCCTATGATAGTATGTTTCTTTTTGTTAGGTCTCATAATGGACAATTTGAAATTTATGAATCATCGTGTGAGTTGAGTTAAGTTTAATGTCCGTTTTCATTAATTGGTCATCACTCTAGCCAGAGTGCTATACTGTTTGAGCTATCAAAATTTATCAATGCCTTTTTGTTGTGGTCAGAAACTCCGAGGCAGTGTCATGATCTAAAATTTATGGGTTTAAAAGTTTAGTCGATTAAAGTTATTAGACACAAGTTTTGGCTAATTCCACCTATGATAGTATGCTTTTTCTTTTTTGTTAAGTCTCATGATGACAATTTTGAATTTATAATCATTGTGTGAGTTAAGTTGAACTTAGTGTCCAATTGTCATTAATTGGAAGTTCATCACCTCTTCTAGCCAGAGTACTTATATTGTTTGAACTGTTAAAATTGTACTAAAAATATAAAAACACCTTTTTGTTAATTTTCAAAAATTCTTGTTGTTCTGAAATTTAATTTCTAATCAAATTTTGAAATTTATTACCGAACATATTAAATTCAACTTCGAAAAGAATGAAAAAAATTTCATAACCAAATGCCTTGTGACATGTATGTAACCACGTGGCTCTCTTACATAAAATAAAGTAAAAAATTATGTGGCTTAGCCCTTTAATTATTTGAAATAGAGTTATTTTTCAATTTTTTTTAATAGATATATTGATAGTTTGGGATCTCATAGCAGATACGTCCTCATATAGTAGGCAGAGATATTGTATACATATGGATATAAAGTATTTCATTATTATTATACGTGTGAATACAACATGTTTTTTTCATTATAGAGATATTATATACGGACAAATACATATATTATGACATAAAATAAGTGTATTTCACTACGTTTTAAAAGCAAAATACTGTTCCTTTTCATAATTAAACATAATCTCACTATTTTTCACACATCTTGGTTAATTTAATTAATTGGGCACATAGATCTCGTATGAGGCATTATGCCTCTACAGCCCATATGTATTATAGTAGATTTAATTTCTACTAGTAAAATAAATACTATATACTTTATAACATAGTGATCCATGGAAAAAGCACCCATTGATTTTATTTATGATATTTTTATTTAGTCTATTTGGATTGAGTCAAAAGTCATACGCTCTCCATCTTATTTTATGTGACATCGTTTAACTTAACACGATATTTGAAAAAAAAAAGACTTTTGAAACTTATGGTCCAAAACAATTCTTAGATATTTGTGTGGTTGAAAATCATATCATTAAGGGTAAAAGGTGTATTTTAAAGTTAAATTGTTTCTAATTATAGTAAGGTGACATTCTTTTTGGGACAGACTAAAAAAAATGGAAAATGATCAAAATTGCCCCTGAACTATGCGAAATAGACCACTTATACCCTCCATTACATTTTGGGATCAAAAATATCCCCGCAGTTATCCCAAGAGACCACAGATACCCTCAAGAGTTAACACCCCAATTTTTTAGTGATGTGGCAAGCCACATGGGACTAATCCCTCCACCTAAGCATTGCCAACTAAGATTCACTACAAAAGAACTTGACTTTTAGTGGCGACAAAGTCGCCACAAAATCCCAAAATATTGCCACTAAAGGTTATGAGTGATTTTTAGTGGCGACTAAGACTCCAACAACCATTCGCTAGTAAAACCTATTTTTTCAACAAAAAAACATGATAATTAATTTTCGATTGTGACCTAATTTTCTAAAATAAATAACTTCCAATATCCATATTAAAAACATCCAATATTATTACGTAAAGTATTTCATGTAAGTAGGATCTGCGGAGGAGTCATACCTCAAAAAGTGTGAAGTAAACAACTTATTCTAATGAAATAACAAGATAGTTACTTCTTCAAACGACGTAGTACTTTAACTATACAACAAAAACTAAGTTAAATACATTAGTGTGGAGAATTTTTATATGCTCATCAGGTAATCTATCTTATTCTTAAGGAAATTTTCCCTATCGATATACTTCGATAATTTCATAGTGTAATTTTTGTTCACACTAACAGTGCATATAACTTTGAATTCAAAACTAATTGGCATAGAATATGTTTGTCATTAGCCACACGTTGCTATGTGGGGGTCTTCCTTTTCTTTTGGCCTTTATGTTTAAAGAACAAAGTACAACATGGTACATTTAGACATTTAATTTCCTTCAACAACGAAATTAATTTATTGATGTCTATTTATTTCAAACTTTATATCTTTTATGTCCTAGGTCAATGGAACGTGATTTTGATTTCTTGTCATGATAGATAGGATAGCAATTTGAATTAACTTTAGTTCCTACTTACTCGTTAGAGAAGAATTTTTGTGTTGCGTATTGAGCTCTTATTTACAAATTTTCAAATACACATAGTATAATTCGAATGAATAATTGTCAGAAAATAACCATTTTTAGTATTATTGACAAGAACAATTACATACTTGTATTTTTAGTCCCAAAACTTGGCAACTTATTGCCAAGTGCAATAAAGACCTTTCCGATGTTTACAATTATAAAATGATATACACGATATATAATGTGAAATAAATTTTGGGAAAATATGCTAGAATATTTTATGTAGCCTAACTCATAGAGAGTTCTGTCACTTGGTCTGAACCATTTCTTCTATTTCTATGATTGTTCAGTAATAAGTTTTCTCCTTTAGGATTAGGTTTCTATTTCGTGTTATGCTAAGCTCATTTCTCTTTTTAGGTCTTACCTTTTGTACTTAAAACATTGTAATTTTATGAGTTATTAAGTGGTTGTTGGGAAAAATATCTAAGGTCTGTTGAGAAAAAAAATATGAAGAAAGAGAGAGACAATTATAGGAATTATCTATTGCCATTTTTTTGGGACTAAAATTATCTATTGCCTTTTTAAAAAAAAATTATACTTGACAACTAAATAAAGTGTTTTTTTTTTGGACTAGAATTATCAACTTGTTACAAAAAAATTGAAATTAGTTACTTTCTCCATTTCTTTTTAGTTGTCATGATAAGATTTGACACAATTCTTAAGAAAAAATAAGGAGTGTTGTTTGATCAATATATCCTTGTTAGTTTTTTAATTTTTATCTATATATGTGTCTCTTAATTATAGAATAATTAATGTTAAGGGCAAAATTGGAAAAAGATAATCAATTCTCTCTATTTTGGAACAAGAATTTTTAATATACATAACAAGTAAAAAAGAACGGGGAGAGTAGTTAACAAGTTTAATCGCAAATCTATCATTAAATTGTTCATAGCTAACATACTTTTTCAATAATCCGCTGCTTAAATAGAATTATCAACTAATTTTACTGATTAGTTACAAAATTTGACCATCGCTATTCCTATTTTTCTAGTAATGAAAATACCTTTTTTTTTAAAGTATGAAAAATACATTTATTTTGCAATGCACGAAAAAAAAATGGCTTAAGTCGTGCAAAGCTAAAACCCTGAATACTGATTATATTCAACCAACATCAATGGAAAAGAAAACAAATGACCAGAAGCTTGCAAATCTAGAAGTCTGAATACTGATTATATTCGACCAACATCAATGCCAAAAAAAACAAATGACCAGAGGCGTGCGAAGCTAGAAATCTGAATACTGATTATATTCGACTGACAAAGAAAACAAATGACCAGAGGCATGCAAAGCTAGAAGTCTGAATACTGATTTGACCGAAATGAATTAAGGGTACAAAACAAGGCGCCTAGAACATAAAGAACAAATATACTTTATTTTAAACCTCAAACAAATTGGCAAACAAAAAAGCTTGCCTTTGCCTTCAATATCCACAGCCTCCACTGTCCCTCCACAATATGGACATGCCCCTGACGCTTTCTTTCTTCCTACTTCTTTTTCTTCTTCTTCACACACATATATCATACGCATTCTCTCTCTCTCTAGATCTCTTTCTTTTTTACTCTTTTTCTATGTGTGTGTGCAATAATAAATGTTGTGCTTTATATAGGTGTGTTTTGGACTTTTGGTGTGAGAGTGAGCTAAAGTCACTAGTAGAAAAGAAGATGTTAGGGTATAGAGACAAATTTTATTGCTAAAAATCAAAATTTATCGCTAATTATTTTTATCGATGAATTAGCGAAGGTAATTAAAAGGTTTTGTTAGCTACGACCTACGAGCAATCTAGTGACGGATTACTAACGAAATTAACGACATTGTATCTAGAGTAGCTAAAGACTAAAGTCTTTAGCAGCATTTATATAGAATGTTGATTTAAATATTTATATTTATTATTACCGCCTAATTTAATATAACAACGATTAAATTAATAACGCTAAATCTTTTATTTGTTATACTGAAACATGTTTATACTAGACAAAAAATATGAAGGGTTTTAATATTTTATTGCATTTAATTCTCATATCCAAATTGATCAGACTTCATCATCTCAACCCCTTAATTGGTGGTTGATCACTTTAATATTTGTAGAATGTACAATGAGGTCTTGCTATTTTGGGTTTGAAAGGATTAAATTAAATAAGACACATTAAAACCCCTTGTTTGCCTAGTATAATTGTGATTTGTGTGTATGCGCATGCTTTAACTTGTTTTCTTTGTCAGACTAAGGAAGATAAATAATACGAACAAAATAAGTTAAGGGGTGGGATGGGGTAATATAATCCTAGCATAGCATAAGGGGGTAAATGATATAAATAAAATAAGTTCACATAAATAATATGACGCTCGTAAAATTTAGACATGTAATCAACAATTTCACCATAATTTATATGTGTTTTTATATGCCTTATCCCTAAAAGTCTAGGGGTGGGGGCGGCATCATGATCACATTTTTAGTGGAATTAGGTGCCATCTATATACTCTTGTTATTAGCAAATCATCTACTAACATTTATTCTTGTCATTATTGGAGCTCAAACCGAAATATGTGGACTCCGAATTTCATGTGTCCAAAATCTTTGAGGAAAAAAATGTCCAAGTTAGAACTTTACTTGGAAGCAAATGCATTTTTCCTAAAACACTAAAATTCGATCACAAGTTTAAAAAAGGGCAAAGTTGTTCAATTTTAGATAGTACGGGAGCAAACATGACCTTAAATTTGTTATTTTGTATGTAATTTTTCTCACCGTTGATTATATTGATCCACTATTCGAATCTTTAGTCCTTCTAAAGTATTACATCATGATGATACCCTTTTCACAAAAATGTCATGTCTTTATGTAAAATGTACAAACTATGTGATGGACCATTTCTATGAAAGAAAAAAAAAAGTAAGTTACCAAACTATTAATAACCATTTTTTCCTATCTAGTTGTCAACACTTTTATTTTGGTTTAAATAATAGTAAAAATAAGAACACAACCAAATTACTTTCTAAACTCATAGAGTCCAAACAAAAATGCTCAAAGCAATGTTAGTTTCATTTGACAATGACATCCTTCTGTATTGGGTCAATCTACTGTCCAACTTTCTTGAGTCACTTTTTCAATGTTTCTTCAAAAAAATACATGAAGTTATCATTGATATAATTGATCATTATTGTGGTTTATTTTGGAAAGTTTTCTGTTCAGAGTATAATTAACTAATAGAAGTGTGCTCTCTCTACTAGCTTTCATATTTAGATGAGATGGACACTCACTCACATGCTATCAGAGTAGACAAATGTCTTCTGATTGAATTTCACCGTCACGCATATCAAAAAGAATTTCCATGTGTTTGGTTCGTGAAAAGAAATCAGGTGTGCACGTGAGGGGCGCATTGAGAATATAATTAACAAATAAAATTGTATTCTCTCTAATCACATAAGTTTTAGATGAGATTGTCACACACTTTAACATTTTCTAGTATTGCTAATGATGTTTTTACATTAATTTGCACAAAAGAACTTTTTGCAAATCTTTAAAGGTATCTTTTCCACTTTTATGGTGAAAATCACTTGCACTATTAACTTTGCTTTAAAAAGTAATCGTTCTCCTCAATTGCTTATTGTACCCGTATATATCTACCTTTGTTTTTTATTCTTTAAAAAATCAAGATATTTTTCCCTTTTTAGAAAATCTATATAACAAATTTCCTATAGAAAGAAAGTATTTTGAGACGAAAAAAAGGAAGAGAATTATTGATCGAGTACATGAACTAATAGTGTTCTATAAGAAAATAACTAAATATAGGAAATTCATTTTATTATTAATAATAAAAATTCTAATATATATCATTGAGGTTTAATTTGGAATTTTAAATTATTTTTAATGGAATTTTCTATTATTGTTAATGACTTTTTTGCCTTAATTTGAGCAAAAATACTTTTTTTTCAAATCTTAAAAGTATCTTTTCCACTTTTGTGGTGAAATTATTAATGTTGTCATCTTATCTCGTTTTAATTGTAATTATTAGTTTACACATGGAGATTTTTAGAAATTATTGTGGTATCAATTTCTAATTTTACTAACATTTTCCTTTTTCAGTGGCAAAAATTACACCAATGTTTGGCATAAAAGGGAATTTTCAAATTAAGTTAAATTTTATCAATAATTGGTATCAAGTATTAAAATATTACAGCAAAATGAAAAAGAAATAACTAACATAAAAGGATTTTTTCCAATATATTACAAAATTAGGCTTCTAATTAGTTCTATAACTATCCATTTGTATTAATGGAACTATGGAAGAACCAGTTTTCGGAAAATAGCAACAACTTTCTAACAAACTATATACAATTACGATAAAATATACCCATGGTATACATAAATTATACATTTATGTTGTATATATATCATAGTAAAATACTAAAATTAATTATAGAAAGAATTATCAAAATACACAACTTATTTTACCATATTCTCTAAAATTACCTACCATATTCTCTAAAATTACAAAAATTCATAATTTCCTCACTCTCTCTCCTATTCTTGGATACATGTACTCTTACGATGTATCGGGACAAGTGTGTCTTGTATCAACAAAGGTAATGTATCGGGACGTTGAGCGATATATCGGGATATGTGTGTCTTGTATCAACAAAGGTAATATATTGAGACGTTGAATGATGTATCCGAAATCCTTAAATTTTAAGAGATTTTTATAATTTGGAAAAAAATATTTACTATGAGATTTCTGTAATTTTTACTTTATATATACCCATGACAAACTCAAAATATATAACTATGTTATAGGTATTTTATATGCCGTATGTCATTGTATATTCATTATTACATTAAACATACAAATAACATACGATTGACATTATCCTTCCACCACAAAAAAAACCGCCATACACATCATTAAAAAAAAAAGCATAATTTTATAAATAGGGGAATGTTAAAAATTGAGCCCCTAATAAGGGTCTGTTTGGAAAGCCACTTGGTAATTGAAATTGGTGTAATTACTAGGGTAGTAATTACCAGCCTAGTAATTACACTGACCTGTTTGGTTGCCACAGTGTAAGTACACATGTCCTGTTTGGATACCACAACGTAATTACATATGTTCTGTTTGAATGCACAATTGCAATTATAAAATTATAATAAATTTTAAAAAATAAAAATTAATTATTTAAAATTTATACTAGACAAATAAGAAACTTTATAAATGACATTAAATTAAATATTTAAGATATATATTCTTGTTTGAAAATATATTAATTAATAAACATATTTTCTGTAACTACTATTATGAAAAAACAATTGATTCAAATTAATATATTTCAATTGAATTGATCGTAACAACTAAAAGTATGAAGTTTCTACGAATATCGTAAAATGTATGTTTGATAAAAAGAGTAATATATAAATAAAATGTCATAAATTATTAAATGTTTGACAAAAATATAATCTATCAAGTCTAATTAAAAAATGACGTGCAATGTAAATTCAATATTACTAAAACAAATGAAACTGAAAATATCACATAAGTTATAAATTCAAAACAAAAAATTTAACATAATACTCTTATAATAAATTTCAACATAGCAATAAATATGATTTATTTTTATTTTTTCTTAATAAAGAAAACATAAGTCTATAACCTTACTTAACAATAAATTCTATTTTAATTTAAAAATTAGAATACTAATAAAATTATGCTAATGAGAAAATAAGCATGGCATAAAGAAATAGATAATACGAGGAAATTACATATAATCATGTAAAGTAAGGTTGAGAACAAGAAGAAAATGAAATATAATAATATAAAATAAATAATAAACTTTTACAAATTTTAGAATAATAAAAACAAAAAAGAACTTAAAATAATAGAAGTAAAAAAAATTAAAATATAAAAATTAAAATAGAAATAAAAAAAAAAATTAAAAAGTAATCAGGTGGTAATTACACCATGTAATTACCAGCAATTCACAGCCTTTGCGTGTGAATTGTAAAGTCTAATTGTAACATCTCGCACCTAGAAACGACTATGAAAATATTGATTTTTGGAAAGAATAAGGAAGTTTGGAAATTGTCTAAGTTAAGAAAGTGAGTTTTGACCATTTTCAAACGGCCATAACTTCTAGCTCAGGAGGTGTTAGGAGCAGATCTTGATATGTTTGGAAAGCCCTTGGAGAGATCTTTCCAACTCCGCCAAGATTGCACAATTTCGACATCGTATCAGTGAGATACGCCTTCCGGAAGTTGGGTTGTTGGATCGAGGAAAGTTTCAATCCGGATTTAGGGAAGGGCAAAGTAATATTTTCCCTAATTAATTTCCTATTTCGTTTTTAGGGATTTATAGGGGTAAAAACAGAATTTAATTCAGTTTTGAAAAGTTAGAATACGCTTAGGGCTTGGAGAAGAGAGAAAGAAAGAAAGAACGGGAGAAGAAGGCAAGAATTAACCAATATCATTCAAGATTTGCAAGTGAAATTCATCGGGGGTGCTCCCTATTAAGGTATGTGAGATTTCTTTCGTGTTGGGTTAGTTCATCCACGCACTAACTTTTTTCAAT